TAAAAGTAATGTAAGTGTTATGGGACCTTACCCATAATAACATAATGGAGTATTCCATACGTAACAAATACTGCACCTCAAGAGGAAGTCGGACGACCGGCTGATCGGTTGAACTCTCTGCCTTCGGGCGGGGAGGAACCCGAACAAGGCTACGCCGAAGGCCGGAGTCTCTTTCGAGGAGGTAAACCGACCCTGAACCCGTCTATACAGGTTCAAAGGGCATATTTTTGGCCGAGTCCACGGGCTCGGTGATTCCACGTTAAACCGACCTTGTGCCATATGATCCCCTCTGGCGGGGTGACTAAATACTGCTCAGTCTGAAGTCTGGAGTGAGGTCTGAAGTCTGAAGTGAGGTCCGTCAGGAGTCTGTCAGTCAGTCAGAGCGAGCGAGTGAGTCAGTCGAGTCAGAGGCAGTCCGAAACAGAGTCGCGTTCAGACAATTACTGCAAGACATTGGAATAGTGATACTGGTCGAGACTACATTGTTCTCTCTACTAAACCTGATTGTTCGTACTAACATTTTTCTACTTCTCTGTATATATTCCTGTTTGTAATATATCTGTGTTATTCCATACCTGTGTTCGAGTTCTTCTTTATTGGTTCTACCTTGGACTATCACCGTGGTAAAAGGAACCGGACCATAACAGTAAGTTTGTTAACTTTCTTTGAAAATTTTTAATTTTAATTATTTCAAATCCAGAATTATATCTTCCATGCGATAACAGTCTCTACTGTATAAACAAAAATCTCAGTTTACACCTCTGAATAAAAGAATCAACGCATTTGCATAATTACTGAAATATCGTTTTTTTAACTGTTACTGTTGCATATCTTTGCTTTAGTTTGGTTTGGTTTGTTTTACGGTATATCAACCTCAATGGGTTATTTAATGCCGACAAGATTTTTATTGATGGTAATATTATTTTTCCAAAAATGTATTGCTGGCAATATATTTTTCCAAAAATATATTGCTGATAATATTTTTTTCCAAAATGTGTTGCTGGTAATATTTTTTTCCAAAATGTATTGCTGGTAATATTTTTTTTAAAAAATATATTGCTGGTAAAAAATTTTTTCAAAATGTATGGCTGGTAATATTTTTTTTGAAAAATGTATTGCTGGTAATATTTTTTAAAAATGTATTTCTGGTAATATTTTTCAAAAATGTATTGCTGGTAATATGTTTTTTCAAAAATGTATTGTTGTTAATATCCTTTTCTCAAAAATGTACTGCTGGTAATAATTTTTCCAGAATATTATTGCTGGTATTAAAACCTATTTTTACATTTTAAAAGTGCTTATCTTTCCTGTATAGCCCCAAGAATCTCACTTCTTGCCCTTTTTCCACTAATACCACAGTACACAGTAACCCTCTACCTTGAGTAGCTCTTGGACCTTGTACTAGGTGAAAATTATTGGGCCTTGTATTGGGTAAATATTAGTAAAAACAAAGAAAAGAGGCTTAGATTACACGTGCCAAATTTATAACTAATGCAAGTGTAAAATAATTAAAACTAGTTTTAACCTGATAAAATTTCCTCATTTGAAATTTCTGATTAATTTTAATTCTTCTGTCAATGACTGAATAAGCTTATGTTCTATGTCAATAACATATTCGTAGAAATTTCCCTATCGCTTTGTTAAATATTTGAGCTTAACGACTAACAAAATATTGCAATAACAATGGTATTTTCTAGTAGGAATTTAGGTTCCCACAAAAAAAATACCAAATTATACTTACAAAAGATATGTTTTAACAAGATTAATAATAAAACGCATTTAGACAATTCATATAAAGAAGGAATATATTTAAGGGTTTTATATTATTAAGGAATAAAGAATTTAAAGATAAAACAATTTATTAGTGCAACCTATATTTTTCCAGTCTAAGAGTTCAGACGAAATTATTAAATCAAAGAAACGAATTAGTTTTAAAATGTAGACATAGAAGTAGATTTAAACTTAATAAGAACATAGAAAGAAAAAGGTAAACAAGAGAACGACAGATGCGGCGACGACAAAACCTATTTCAAGAGCAAGTTGAAGAAGATCACTTAATAGGCAAAAATATCTGACTGCTTCACATGAAAGGCCTGAACGAATATGACTGCAATCTAAGAAACGTACGAGTAAAGAAACTGACTGATTTTTTTGCTTGGAAACTAATTTTGTCTAAATGCAGATAAATATATTATCTGTTGATTGGTTGGTTTTGTTTAGCGGCATATCAACCTCTATGTGTTATTTAATGCCGAAATTTAAATATTTTGTACGCAATTTTTTGGGGGGGTGGTGGTGGTGGAAGTAGGTTTTGGGGTATTAATCGTTTTAGTGCATGCAAGTCTTACCAATTACCTTGTAGCTGGGGAGAATAGGTGGAGTCATACCTTTTCCAAAGGTATCTGCGTGTGTGAATATAATGAACTCAATGAGAATTAGAACTTGACTTTCCGATTCAAAATTCCAAGCCATTATACTCTACACCACCCGCACATCCAAGCTTACAGCACCCGGTATCTCCAAGCGGTCATCCATCTAGGTACTGACTTGGCTCGACGTTGCTTAACTTTGGTGGTTGTACGTAAACCGGTGTTTCAACCTGATGTGGCCTGGGGCCCTAAATTTTATTTGTATAGATTATTAAAACGACTAATGGAGAAATTACTCAAAAAAATTACTACCTTAAGTTGATTTACCTCCCTTCCGTCTACAGTTGTGACAGGAAATATATAAATACACATTGATAATTATTATATGGTTTGATGGTCCTCATTTCTTCACATTATAAAACATGATAGTTTCATTGGATATATTCGTTTTTAATGATTTGAAAAGCATATTTTTTTCTTACATGTGACAATAGAGTTTATTGTATATATAAGCGACCCAAATTACTAAGCATAACAATTTATTAATTATTATTATTATTTAGTTATACTATTACTTAGTACCATTATCATTTGTCTTCTAACATCACTCTTTATTATTTATTAATATATAATATTTACATTTATTAATTCGTCCTGGGTATGACGATAAACTACATCCGACAGCAAGGCCTTTGGTCAGAAGGTTTTGAGGAGCATGGAACAACCTCTTAATTGCTGGTGTTCTCAGGTCCACCCTGACCTGAAGTGGTATCACCTGTTAGGGTCCTTGCTATGAGCAAATAATTACCCCCCCCAAAAAAATGGTTTGGTTTGGTTTGTTTAGTTTTACGACATATCAACCTCAGTATATTTTTTTTTCTGATAATATTTTTGTTTTGTCAAAAATCAATTTCTGGTAATATTTTTCCTCAAAAATGTATAGCTGGTAATATTATTTTAAAAATGTATTGCTGGTAATATATTTTTTTCAAAAACTTATTGCTGGTAATAGGTTTTAATATCATAATATTTTTACAGCAATACATTTTTGAAAAAAAAATATTACCAAGAATAAATATCTTGTCGGTATTAAATAACCCATTGAGGTTGATATGCCGTAAACCAAACCATTTATTCATTTAACATTGTTACTGTTGGACTCAATGACCCTTAAACTGGAGTAATATGTTTAAACCAGCAAGGCTTAATACACATTATCATAGGTATATTAATAAAATCTGTTGAATCTTTTATATAACTAGGAAGCAAGATAAATTCTACTGAAAATGATGTGAAAATAGCTAAAACCTAGGCTTGAATAAAATGGATGTAATCTGGAAATTTGACCTATCAGACAAACTCAAATGGATATTGTTTCGAGTCACCGTAGAGGCGGTGTTAATGTATGGTACCAATGCCTGGACATTAACTAAAACTCTAGAGACTAACCCAACCTATTCTCAGATGCTGAGTGCTATACTTAACATCTCTTGGACACAAGATCCAACTAAATCACAGCTCTACGGACCCATCTCTTATATTTCTAAAATCGTATGTGCTTTGCAGGACATTGCTGGCGTGCAAAACAAGAACTTAAGACTAATCTACTGTTCCAGCCATCAAGTAAGTCGAGTTGGTTGCTCAGCAATCACCTCCATTGACCAACGATTTTATGACACAGGATGCCTCACTAATGATCTTCCGAGCGTGATGCAGTAACATAATGGTTGGTATGATAATCATGAATGTCCGAACTAACTCGACCGACTCGACGTCGGATAATAATACCCGCAAATCAAACAAACAACTCCAGTAGGTGCAAATACTTCGTAATAGCTCACCCAATCGATGGGTTCCGAACAGATCCATCTACTCAATTCTCTCTCTCTCTCTCTCTCTCTCTCTCTATCTCTCTCTCTCTCTCTCTATCTATATATATATATATATATATATATATATATTCATTCCTTACGTGCTAATACAATTGGGAAAGGTGTGAATCTTCTCCCTCCAGTTATGGGTAAATAGCAGAACAGACTGGCTTCTATAGCCTTGGATGGCAACTAGTCTAAGAAGGAAAACTCTGAATTTAAAAAACCTACGGAGGGTCGATTGGGGACCTTGTGGCACGTAGTGCACCAGGTCTCTAATTCAACCCTTCAAAAATAATGGATGGTCCTGCACGAAACCTTCACCACTATAATCAAATCTGATGTGCTGTGTTCGGGCTGTCGGTTTCCTAGAACTGACCCTCATACGTCGAATTCGACGGGAGAATCGAGTATATATATATATATATATATATATATATATATATATATATATATATACGTAAAATTAATTTAATTAAAACACTTAACCATAGGGCTCTCATGATCTGTTCTAAAATTAAGTTGGATGATGAACTTAGGTTTATTACTACTGCCCTCCGTAACAATGCCGATCCATTGGGAATTGTTCAAGCAATAATTAAGAATAAAAATGTTGAAATCAATAAAGTTAAACCTGCTATAGTACAAGGATGTCTTGTGTACCTGTACCTTCCTTGGCTAAATAATACCATTTATAGATATGCTGAACAGGAATCTGTAGCAGTTCGACATTGTTACTTTGCTACGAACACTTGTGTGGTTTTCTCTGCCAAGCCTGTCCATGCGTAAGGACATTCTCCCTCCACATCATAATAGTTCTTTTAATTTATTCCTTTAAATGTAGTTGTGGTTCGTACTACATAGGGAGAACGACTCAAACGCTGTATGTCAGAATAAAGCAACACGTTTCAAGGAAAATCCGAAATCTTAAATACACTTTTTCAGACATTCTAATCAATATATACGGGTCTTCCATCGCAGAACACATAATAAATAGCCATAATTGTGCTAAATAGCCATAATTGTGCTATTTGTTTCAGTGTGGACTGATTTACCATCCCTAGAAAGTCTCACTCGAATTACCACTTAAAAGTGTTGGAGGCTAAGACAGATAGACCGAGAGGGTAAGACCTCCGAGTCTAGCTGAGTCGTGATACAGTCTTTGACTGTAAGCGACGTCTGTCGAACTCTCTGCGTTAGCAGAGAGGAACCCGGACGAAGCTTTGCCGAAGGGCAAGGTTTCGTCCGGGGAGGTAGACAGGGCCTGAACCCGTCTAGGTGGGTTCAAAGGCTATATTTTTGGCCGAGCCTACGGGCTCGAAGATATCCACATTAAACCGGCCTTGTGCCACATTCAATCCTCGTGGGTGGATCGATAAATACCGAGCAAGACCTCAGAGTCTAGCTGAGTCGTTATACAGTCTTTGACTGTTAGCGACGTCTGTCGAAATCTCTGTGTTATCAGAGAGGAACCCGGACGAGGCTTTGCCGAAGCGCGGGGTTTCGGCCGAGGAAGTAGACAGGGCCTGAACCCGTCTAGGCGGGTTTAAAGGCTATATTTTTGGCTGAGCCTACGGGCTCGGAGATACCCACATTAAACCGGCCTTGTGCCACATTCAATCCTCGTAGGTGGAACGATAAATACTAAGTGTTGGAGGCTATTTATATTTTATCTTTCAAGTCATCACTCTGTAAACAGAAGGACTTCGTACTGGGCCTCCAACTAATTTCCATCTAAGCAATAATTATTTTCTCAATAGATATTGTCCACTTTTTTGGTGTTAATTCTATTTATTAACCTCGATTTAGCTCTGTTTAGCGAGGTTCGAAACCGGTTACCTAGTCCGTTTTTCAGTTTTACTTTTTAATTATTATCATCATGAGTGGTAATAAAAATAATTTTTGTCTTTTTATGGCAGTCATAAAGTTTTGTGCCACAAAACATATCTTTAAATATATATAGATATCCGAGTTTAACTGCAAAATTGTCCGAATTGTGTAACTGCATAATTGTTTATGGATATTAATTTTCTTTATTTTTTTATTATTATCTTAATAATAAAAAAATAAAGAAAATTAATTGTGTCAAGTTCTATCCTTGAATCTAACTTCTTCCTAATTTTCATCAATGAACTTTCTGATGGCATCTATTCTAAAGTTAGTATCTATGCTGATAACACAACTATTTACTCCTGTCGTGATAGTAAGTTTGGTCAGATCGATAATGTCAAATTTACCGCTGATCTAAAAATGACCTACAATCTGCAGTTAACTAGGGTACGTAATGACTTGTTAGCTTTAACGCCCTCAAAACGAAACTTCTCTCTATCAATCATCTGAGAGACCCCTTTCCGCCCCCCATCAAGCATGGCTGATGCTAATCTCCAGGTGAGTGAGTCGTTGTGATTTCTTGGGCTAAACGTTTCCGCTCACATGATGTATAAAGATTATATTGAATCATCTGCTGCTAGGAATGTTGGATCGTGTTAGACATTTTTTCTCGCCAGAATCTATCTTACATATTTATAAGTCACACATTATGAAATGGACAAAGTCCGAGAATTATTTTAAGACATATTTATGTTTATACATTTTTTATAGATACAAATATTTAAGTAAATACTCTGATTTATAATAAACAGTATTAAACAACATTTACCGGCCTGAATGTCCGAGAAATTTTCATAGAAAATATTTGTCCTCTGATAGGATTACGAACCTGTATCCTATAGCGAACTGTCATTTAGCTTGACGTGTCTTTGCCAATTTGGCCACGAAGGAGCGTTCGGTTAGCAAGGTCTAATTTACTGTATTTGAACTTCAATCTGCTATGAATCTCTCACATACATTCATGTCTGCTCATGGCGTATCAAATTGTGATATTTTAAGACATTTTTTTATGTTTATTCGTTCTTTTTATAGATAATAATTATTAGATATAATTAATTGTCGGACTTAGTCCAGTTCATAATGTGTGACGTCATTTGTTTACATCTGGATACGCATCGAGCAGATATGAATGTACGAGAGAAAATCACGGAGAATTGTAGTTTGAAAGCAGTAAAATCGATCTTGCTAACCGAAAAGATCCGCTGTGGATAAATCGGTAAAAGCACGTCCGGCTATATGACAGTTCTGTATAGGATACAGGTTCGATTCCTCCCGAAGAACGCATATTTTCTATGAAAATTTCTCGGACATTCAGACCGGTAAATGTTGTTTAACTGTTTATCATAAACAGAGTGTTGTGTCGGAAACCTACCACCCCTCTTGAAGATGAACTTGTCTGCGTCTTTGAACAAAGACTTTAAATAGTGGCATGTCAGTTGACATGGGGAAGACAGACCGAGAGGGTAAGACCTCCGAGTCT